TGCTAAATCAATGCTTGTCGACCGACTGACCGATCAGCTGCGGCACACCAGCCCCGTGACCTTGGGGCTTGCCCCGAGGCTCCCGCTCCAGAACCCAGTTTCCTTTCCTCTGATGAGAGGGGTGTGGATGAGGAAGGTCCCTTCGGGGTCTGTCATCCCCGCTGTGTAGCCTCGCTTTCGTCACTTCACTGCTCTGTATCTCAGTTTCCTCATCTGTAAATTGAGAGGGTTGAACTTTTGGATTTTATTTGAGAACCTTGGCCTTGCCCTTCTTCCACAGACACGGGGGTTTCCTGTCTTCTGGCCCTTGAGGTCTTGTTCCTGACCCCTGCCATGCATCCTCGCTTGCCCTCCTGGGCTCCTCCCGTCCAGGCTCATGATTCACAGCAGACATGAGATGCTGACGGTGTAGTCACAGATGGGGAGTGACAAATGAACTCTGCTTAAGACCTCGAGCTTGTGCCTGAGGGTCTCATCTGATTTCAGGCCTCTCTGCCTCCCCTTGACCACCACTGGCGCCATTCACCATCTGCCCCTGCAGCCTGGCACCCCGTCTCTGGTCCGCGGGCTCTGGGACCTTGGGTGACAGTGTACAAACCAGGGCCAGCAATCTGCAGCCTTCGAGAGGTGACTGAGAAGGGCGATGAAGGCATAATGTGGAGATGGAAACAAATCAAACACGAATCTGAAAGTATTTTATAAGTCCACCTGAAAAAAAAATCAATGAAAATGAGGGCGTTCGACTAAACGGTCCATTCTGGAGGTCCTGGATCCTCTGAGCATCGTCAGCAAGCGGCTGGGCAGTGCTGGGAAGGATCCTCCTGGGAGCTCCTCGGAGGGCCCCGACCTCCCTGCCTGCGCTTTCCGGCCGGGGACTGGCATGCGCCCCGAGCAGCCACGTGCGGCCAAGAAGAAAAGGAAGCAGCCTTCACGTGATGCTGGCTGCTGCCGCAGCATCCCTCCCTCTGCATTCTGTAAACACACTGGCGCGGTCCTCTCCCTCTCTCCAGATCCTTCCTGCAGCGACACCAAGTGGCCACAGGGAGGTGGGCAGTGGCAAGACGACGCTTTACCTCCTCCTGGTGGAAGATAGTGCCCCACTCACCTAGAGCATGGGTCCAGACGGTCATAAAGGGAGAGCGAGGAGAGACCTCAGAGGCCATGAAGCCCAAGTCACCATTTTAGAGATGGGGAAAGTGAGACCCGGAGTGGGACACTAATATCCGAAGATACAGAGTGACTCTCTCACCCCTATGATCAAACATCAAGTCCTTTGCTCTTCACGACCTGCTCCCGCACCCCACTTTCTTTGCCCCCTTTCCCCCACGTATTCTTTGATCCAGTGACATTGGCCTCCATTGATTCGGGGCATTTTTCTGAGTGGGGAGACTTCCGGGCCTGTGATTTCTTCATTGGGGGAAGTGCAGACACCCCCTTTACTAAAGCAGATCAACCTCGCCTCTGTAACAGGGAGCCTTAGAGATTCACCTGGGGAGCTGAGAGGCTGAACAGTCAGCACCAGAACTGGGGTCTTCCTGGATCTGAGGCCAGTTCTCTCTCCACTCTATCCCGTTGCTTTCAGTTCACTAAAGAGAAATTCAAAGAGAAGAAGGCAGTCATCACTTTCTGTGGGACCTCAAAGACCTTGAGAGAAGGAAACAAGCTTTGGAACGAGAGAGAGAAAGGGAGAGGGAGAAAGGGGGGAGAGAGAAAGAAAGGGAGGATGATATAGAAGGAAGAAAAAGGGAAAAGGAGGGAGAAATAGGAGGAGGGGAGAAGGGAGAGGAGAAAGAGAGAGGGAAGGGAGGAAAAGGGAGAAGAGGAAGAGATAGGAGGAGGAGGAGAAGAAGAAGGAAATGGGGAGAGAAGGAAAGGGAGGGGAAGAAGGGAGAAGGGAGGAAAGAAAGGGGAGAAGAGGAAGAGATAAGGGAAGAAAAAGGGAAATGGGGAAAGGAGGAACGGGAAAGGGAGAAGGGAGGAAGGAAAGGGGGAGAGGGGAGAGACCCTCATTGAGAGAAATTTACTGAATTCCATTTTCCAGAAGTATGGCTTCCACAGCCTGGCCACATCACCTAGTGTGCAATCTGATTGACTAGGTGCATTTCCTATTCATGGAATTCTAAAGGCTGGAGAATTTCATGAGACACAATGCTGCAGGGGTGGCATGCAGAGATGAGAGTGGCAAGAAAACATGGCAGCCGCATCCAGATAACAATGGGGCTAGCACAGCCAGTAGAGACGTCAGGGCTGAGAGAGGTCAGTGTAACCAGCTCATGACATTGCCTAGATTGCCACTACCATCACATTAAGAGAAGTCAGCAGAAGACTTCAGAATGCTCTCTCACTGAGCTGCCAAGAAGCCCATGATCCCCAGTGAGGCTGTGGCAATCTTCCCACGCTCTCTTCATGAGTGCGCTGCTGAGTCCCTCTGGTGCCCTGTTTAAGAGACTAAAGGTGAGTTGAATCGATTCTCAGGGTTGTAGCCAATGGAGAATAAGTGTCTTGAGTGCTTCAGACCTTGTTCAGTTCCATGTTGAAAACTCCTCTTATTCTGTTTCATTAAGGGCCTTTCCCTTTGTATTCATGTGTTATCTGACCTGGTCTGGGATTAGAAGACACATAAGTGGGGACTCAGAGCTATAAATCTGAATTATTACCCCTCACCAACGGTCGCATGAACCAGAGGAGTGGACCACATCAGGGTCAACCCAATCCATAATTGGGCTGTTCTGTGCTTGTGCCATTGGAACGGTAAAAGAGCTGGACAGAGGCCTCCAATGAATTAGCTGGATCTATTATGAAAAGTTTATGGAAGGACAGGCACAAGAATTACCTAGGCTAAGAGTGCGCACATTAAAGACACTGTGGGTTCACTAAAATAATGAAGTACTAAAGGGTGTGAGGAATCGTGATCAAGCTGCCACATTCCAAGGACAACTCCCTATGCCTGTTTCCCTGGCATTTCCTATTGAATATAAAGGGAAGAAAAAAAGGATTAAAAAAAAAGGCATTCTACTGAGGCCACGTGCATGTGCTTTTACACAGACTGTTTCCCAGCCCTTAAAAATTCTCCTGCTCCTCACTGATGCCTTTTAAAATCCCTTTCAAGATTCAGTCATACTGCCACTTCCTACAGGAACCCTTTCCTGATGCCCCAACTGTTGGTACCCCCAAGTTACTTTGTATTCACTGTGCATCTATTTTGTATTCATCTATTTGTATGCACATTGCTTCACCCTTGAGAATATTTGAATCTCCTTGATGGGAAGAAATCCGTCAATAGTCGATCAAGAAGCATTTATTAAGTGCCCGTAAATGTGAATTGGCTGCAGAGCTGGGAGGACCCTAGGATTATTGATGAAGAGCTGGAAAGGAACTCAGAGACTGACCAGTCCAAACCCTTTCCTTTTACAGATGAAGAAACTGAGGCTCCGAGAGAGTGACTTGAGCACGATTACTCAGCAAGTAAGTAGCGAAGGTGGACTTGTAATCTCCCTACTCTGACGCCAAGTCCAGTGGTTTTTGTTGTTTGTTTTTCCCCACCGCACCATGTTGCTCTCTCTTCATTCCATTTTGTGAGCTCAAAGCCCAGAGAACTGGAGAGAAAGCACTCCTTCCACATCGGATTTTATTTAGCATTATTGGCTGAGTTCCCTGTTCTTTGAATTCAAATCTCACCTCTGCCACTTGCCAGCTTTGTGACCTTGGAGGGGGAGACCTCAGTTTCCTCCTTTGTAAAATGCTGGGATTTCACCAGAGGACCTCTGAAGTCTTTCTACTCTAGATCAAGGATTCTAGACTGAGTCTCTTCAAGAATCTCTGAATGACAACTGTGGGCACAGCCACACTTACTCTGACTGAGGTCAATAGAGGGCCGCTAGGGGCCGCCATAGTGCACAGCACCCTGGGTCTAGAGTCAGGAAGACCTATCTTCATGAGTTCAAACCTACCTCAGATACTTATTCACTGTGTGACCCTGGGCAAGTCACTTCACCCTGTTTGCCTCAGTTTCCTCATCTGTAAAATAAGCTGGAGAAGGAAATGACAAACCACTCCAGTATCTCTTCCAAGAAAAGCCCAAATGGGGTCATGAAGAGTTAGAGAAAACTGAACAACAACTCATCAAGGTCTTTAGAACTTAGCCTAGCACCCGTGATGGCCTCAGAGAAGACTTACCTGCTACCCCAGGCAATAGGAATCATTGGGTTCAACTCTGAGAAGCTGTAGCTCAGCACTGAGAGGAAAAGAATATAGAGTAAGGGCGTTCCACACCCGCTCTGTTAACTAAGCCTTATTTAGCAGGGAAACATCCCCTTGGAGCAATCCTTATCAGTTGTCTTAGGTTTACTGTTCCATCTCCCAGAGAATAGGGAGCTACTCGGCTTCTATGACTGTAATTAATAAAAACAGTAATCTTATCTGTTTGGAAATTTCAAATAAACGAGTTGAATAAATTGATTCCTAGGGATCGTAGGCTCACAGAAAAGTAGGGGGAATGTTAATGATTCTCTAGTCCAATTTCAGTCTTTTCATCTCTTTGTGACCCAATTTGGAGTTTTCTTGGCAGAGAAGCTGGAGTGGTTTGCCATTTTCTTCCTCAGCTCATTTTACAGATAAGGAAACTGAGGCAAACAGAGTTAAATGACTTGCCCAGAGTCACACAGCTTGTGTCTGAGGTTGTATTTGAACTTATGATGAGGAGTATTCCTGACTCCAGGCCCAGCTCTCTATCCACTGAGCCATCAAGCTGACCTATATATGGGGAAACTGAGGCCTGAAAGAGAGGAATGATTTCCTCAAGGTCCCAGAGGAAGTAGACAGTAGCACTGGCTTTTGAACTCAGGTCCTCTACCTCCAGCTCCAGTGTTTCCCTCTGTACCAGGGTTCCTTCTCAATGTGCCACATTTGCATTTGCGCTTGGCCCAGAAGGATTCTCCAGCTCTTACTAGTGGTTTAAAATAGAGTTTATTTTAGGATTCTCCCACCCTAAATGCTGGTGATGAGGAAGGCACACTTCATTGCATCATTCCATTGAGAGTCTTACAAAGCCTGCTCTTTCTCATGCTGCACCATCTCTGTCCTGGGCTTCCGCCTAGTATTTTCCCAGGAGTCCGGGAGGCAGTACTCCCTCAGACTGTCTTTGAAACAGCAGACCTGGACCTCTCTCCCCTGGTGTTCCACAGCTTCTCAAACAAACAGAGACAGCATTTGTGAGAATCTGGGCCTGGTGGGAATAGCTCAACAGGGACGGACACTGTCCCAGACTCTCTTTCTGCCACGCACCCAAGAGTGCTCTGGTAACATCAAATGGCCCAGAGACCCAGTCTGGGAACAAGGGGGGTCTCATCAGTGTTGAAAGTGGCCCACTTCCTCTGGGGCTGAAAGGACTCAGTTGAGTCACACATCTGAGCAGCCCTTAGGGCCAGTACAGGAAAACAAAAAAGAAGGGAAGAAAGTTTAGCTTGAATGTCTAAGTGAAAGGATGTTTGAACCGTCCCTCTAAGGTTCCTCCATGATCTCAGCAGTTCCCACTGCACCCAAGGGAATCAGAAAATTGAAGACACATGAGCCCAGTGAATAAAGGGAACTGAAGACAGAAGGAGGAGGAGGAGGACAGACAGATCAGTGCCAAGCCACACTCAACAACCAGTTTTTGAGCCGAGGCGGGGGAGGGGGAATATTAGAGCTTCTCACAAGCATTCCCAGGCTCATCCATCTGGAGTAGTTAGTCGGTCAGTCAGTCAGTTGACAAGTGACTACCACACAAGCCAAAGCTTATTTCACCTCTTAGCTTCCTATCTTCAGAATGGAGGAGGAGGTGGGGAGCTTCATGGGTCTGCACCTGGCATTCCTGGCTGCCTGGGAGGGCTCCAGGTCTGTAGTAATTGCTGGACACAGAGACAGATGATGACATCCCAGGGCACCTCCGCTCCAGAAGATTCCTCCTGCTCTCCAAAGTCCCTGGTCCACCAGTGACAGTAGGCTTGGCTCAGAAGGTGCTCCACCTGGCAGTGGAGCAGGGGATAGCTGGCACGAGATCCAAACAGGTGATGGATGTACTTGAGGACAGAGGAGCATGCACACTGCCAACCTGCAATGTAAGGAGGACTTGGCCAAGGGCAGCTCCAGGTCTGGGGCTAGGTCCCCATCAGCTGGGAAGGAGGCCACCCCCCAGGACAGAGGGTGGGAGCCAGACTGTGTGGGATAGAGTGGAACAGAATGGAATGTGGTTCTGAGTTTTCTAAGGAGCAGAGGAGAACATAAGCACCCTGAGGGCAGGGACTACTTCACCTTTGTTTTTGTAACCCTAGGACCTAGCCCTGTGTTTGGCACCCAAGGTCCTTTAATAGATGTTTAATGACCAGCTTTGTGATGTATTCGTTCAGTTAACAGTGGGTAAGAACACTGGTCTTGGAAACAGGGAGACCTGAGTTCAATTCTAGACTCAGATATTTTTAACTGTGTGACCCTGGGCAATTCACTTAACTACTGCCTGCTTCAGTTTCCTATATGTCGAAAGGGGTTAATAATTGCACCTAGCTTCCGGAGTTGTTGTGGGAATAAAATGGGATACTATTTGCAAAGTGTTTTGCAAACCTTATAACACTGTCTAAATGCTAATGCCACAAAAGATGGTTTCTGACATCTCTTTCCACTCTAAAAAGTCTATAATTCTTTGACTGTGTGATTCTAAAGTCAACCAAAGATCCCACTGGGGTTTTTGACCACCATGTCACATTATTGACTCCTCCGATTTTTCAGTCCCTTGAAAACCACAGATGTCTTTCCCCATAAAATGTCTTCTAGTTCTGACTAGCCCTCAGTTCTGATCTTTGAAAGTAACAACCAGAAATCAGATGTTTATCACAACAGATCCTAGATTCGGGCTCCGGAAGGTCATTCTTTGGAATCCTAAGTCTAATGGAGCTGCAGTTTTTGATGAAACTGAACTAGAAAGGATTCAAAACTGTGGTGGTTGAATAGAAAGCTGGTAAATTGGATCAAATATTGTTGTGCAAATTTAATTATCTTTTCCTGAGCTTAAAAAAAAAGGGAGTTGTAATTGGTTGGTGAAGGACTTTCCAGTAAATCACCAAGTTCCTACTGGCTTTCTGAGCTAGCTCTCTTTTTGGACTAGCTGCCCAAAGCGTGCCTTCCATCAAGCTGGGCATAGGGGTATACTCCACTCCTTGTGGAAGCAGAGACCCAGGGACATCAGCATGAGGCCAAGGCTGAGGATGCTACAGCACGGAGAGGGAGAGAGCAGGGGAGGGTTGGAAATGGGAGGAACTCTTCCCAGCCATGGGAGGGAGATAACATGGGATAATGACAAGAGCCCAGGAATGTGGTCAGAGAACCTCTTGGCCCTGCCACCCACTACCCGGGCAAGTTATTCATCATTCCAGGCCTTGGGTTTCCAAACTATAAAATGAAGGGGCTGGATCAGATGGCATCTGAGGTCACTTATGATCCTGTAACAGTTTCTAATTTTTACTAATTATCCTATCCACTTAGTTGATAAGGTCTAGATTTTTTTTTCTTCTAAACTATCAAAGTACTAAAAATGGAGCCAGCACCCTCTAAATTCAGCACTCTGGGGCCAACGTCTGGTTATACCATCCTAGTTATTTCTCTGTGTTTCTTCAGACTCATTATCACCAGCTTCTGCTATTTTCAACTCACAACAACCTAATATCTCACCAGTGACTACTAAGAAATGTGGGCAAGCCCATTAAAAGAAAGGGCAGAAAAAACAACTATCCACTAGCAGCTACTCCCTCTCTCCCCAAACTTGACAGTCTTTTAGATTTTGGTTCTAATTTTAAATACGCTAGAAACAGAGGAACCACTTACTGGTCTTCTGGGGCAAGACAACTGGAAGGAGCTGAAGGGATAGAATGATGCTCCTGAGCCACTCCAGGTACTCTGGCATGCTCCTCTCGGGTTGAGGCATCTTTGGTTAGTTAGCCAGAAAAACTTCGGGGCCAGCCCCGCTGGGCCACAGAGCTGTTTGGCAGCCATGGCCCCTGTAGGGAATTGAATCATGCTGTTGTACAATTCCAAGATTACTGCCGGTTCCTGGGGGGGCAAGCCAGCTAGCTGCCTGTCCTTCTGGTCTCTGGAAAGCTGCTCTCCAAATTCACAGTTGATGCCCTTCTCCATGAAATGAGCGAAGGTTTCACAGCAGAGCTTAGCAGCTGGAGGTGAATAGCAGACCAGCCATCTCACTGCCTTCTGTACCTAGAGGGGCAAGCACCAAGCAAGGGCAGAAAAGTCCAGTCAGCTTTGAGACCGACAGAGAAGGAATCTCAGAAGCCCCTTTGTCCAATCTGCTCCTGAGCAAGAATCACCCTCCAGCACTCAACTAGTAGTCAGCGAGCCTTTGTCAAGAGGGACCCACTGCCTCTGAAAGCCATCCATTTTACTGTGGAATAGCTGTCATTTCAGCAAGTTTTCTTCCTGACATGCAGGCAACTGGATGGGGCATTGAGTCAGGAAGACCTGAGCTCAAATCTGGTCTCAGACACTAACTAGCTGTGTGACCCTAGGCAAGTCACTTAATCTCTGTTTGCTTTAGTTTCCTCCTCTGTAAAATAGGGATAATATTATAGCACCTCCCTCCAGGGTTGTTGTGAGGATCAAATGAAATCATAATTGTAAAGCACTTAGCACAGTGCCGGGCACAAAGGGAGTGTCATATAAATGTTGTTGATAATGATGTTATTAAACCAACATTTGTGTTCTGTAACCATCCCCCATAACTCCTAGTTCTACAGTCTAAAACTGTGCAGAATTTAATCCCTCTTCCACATAACAGTCTTTCAAACACTGGAAAACCATCATGTCTTCCCTCTCATTCCAAATCCTCTCTTGCTTTCAAGTGAGGCTCTGCCTCCATAGACTGGGGATTGTCATATGGACGTAGCTCTTCCCAAGTTGCTTGTGTTGGGGTTATGAGATAAAAAAAAAAAAGATGAAAACGATCCCCAGACCCCTCATGATGTGCAGGTGTCTCTGAGACAAAGGTTTCATCATCAGGTATTCTTTTTTTAGCTTTCTTGGTGCCTGTTCATAGGAGGATCTCACAACCCAAGTGGCCATGGAATGTAGACTCAGGTCTTCTAACTTTACCTGGTCGGACCCTTCCAAGTCTTGAATGCAGCACGGGATCCTGAGGATGGTGAAGTAGGAAATGAGATGCCTGGTAATAAAGTCTCTCAGCCTCAGACCTTCAAGAGAAACTCCTTTCAGGTTTACCAAAGTGTGTGATGGCAACACCTCAAGGATCCGTGATGGCATTGCTGGGGGATCTCCTCCCACCCAAGACTGATGACCTCAACCTGCCCACTCATTCATACATAATCTACAGTTCTAGAGAGCAGCCTGAGGCTTGGAAGAGGTCAGTGCCCAGAGCTCCCACTGTGGGTGCGTGGTGGAGGCAGGACCGAAGTTCAAAGCTCCCTGGCTCCCAGACTAGCACTGTCTATCTATCCCCTAGACCAGACCATGCTGCCTCTCTCTAAAACCTCATTTCTCTTGTCTTTTGTTTTCTTTTCAGTTGAATCTCAGATGTCACTGGTGTAGGGAAATCAAAGTGTAGCTATTACCTCCACCTGTGCACCTTGACAACTCAGCTGTAACTTATTGTCTTAGAGAGCAGCCTGTAGACACTGAGAGGTTAAGCCAATTAACCAGATCATGGAGCCAGTGTGTATCAGAGGAGGAAATTGAACCAAAGTGTTCCTGTTTCCAAACCCAGAACTGTCCACTGTACCACAGCCCCTCTCTAAACATTACATTTGGCTTCCATTGAAGGGAGGGGAAGGAAGGAAGGGAAAAGAAGGGAAAGGCAGAACAGGGAGAAGAGAGAATGGCAAGGAAGGGAAGGGCAAGGGTGGGGAAGGGCAAGGAAAGAATACAGGAAATGACTGGGCAAGCTTATGTTTAATCTACCTAGCCCCATGGGTCACATTCAGCACCAGCTTGTAGGAATTTACCCAAGGTTACTCAAGTGACACACCTGCCTTGGTTTCTTCCCCTCCAAGGGTCTCACTGTCAGCAGGGATAAGGATCACCAGGGGCACCGAGGGCTGGGATGGTTTTGCCCTCAGCAGCTGGGACAATCGCAGCAGGCCGAATGCCAGTAACTGTCTTGGCAAGTCTTCTCCTTGTTGGCAAGAGGAAGATGAGGCCATTGAGGGCGAAGAGACTGTCCTGGGTCTGAGCCTTATGAAGCTGTTCCTTGGTACAGACTCCATGCAAAGCCTGGGCAGGATGGAAGGCAAGGTTAGGTCTATTATAAGGGTTTGCGAGACTGCCTCAGGACATCAGCAAGCCACAGTGGGGTTGGCGTGGGCACCCCTTTTACCAGTGGAAAACACGATCCCTCACTCACCCAATTAATAATCAAACACTTACCAGGTGCTTCCTATGAGCCTGTCTGCCTGCAGATAACCTGGTGGTGAGTTTCAAACTGAGCCAGGTTGGTTCTCAGAAGAGACATGCACAGGCCTTCACTGGGTTCCCATGCAAAGCTTCCCTGGTTAGGTAGAGTAAATCAGAGCCTCCACCCCACTGGCAGCAGCACAGAGAGCCCAGGATCACGGCCACACCATGGCTCTGGCCAGGTCAGACAGCAGACGTCCAGCCCAGCCCATCGCTGGTCTTGTCTATTACCCTAAGCTTAAATCTCCAAGTGACAGAGTGGGTTATTCCTCTAGGAGGGCATCTGCCCATGCTGGGAAGGGAGGACCGGCTGAGAAGAGGCCACAAAGGGGGCCATTGGGAAGATGTTACTGGTGCCCTAAAGTATATGATCTCTGGGACAAATGGTTTATATGTGCACATGTCCGTATGCAGACACATGTACACAGATACACATATGTATATGTGTGTATGTGTATACGTATGCATTAACATTTATAGAAACTACCAAAAAGAATGCCAATGTAAATATATATATATATATATATATATGTTATATACTTGAATTGGCTTTATAATGTTAAACTCTAATGACAACTTTAAAAATCATAACCTTTTTAGGGACCTGAAAGAACTCTGTCTATATATGTCTCTGTGTTTCTTTCTCTGTGTGTCTCTGTCTCTTTGTCTCTGTGTTTCTTTGTCTCTGTCTGTGTCTCTCTGTCTTTGTCTCTGTCTCTCTGTCTCTCTCAGTTTTATGAAACTTGATCTCCTGGGGCCCCTTTATTCTCTGGTCCTCAAAGCTGGAAGGCACTAAAAAAATCAAAGACTGCTTTGGTATTTTCCCCGAGATCTTTTGGCCTCCTTCCATTAATTTAAGAGCCAGTGTCTATAGAGTTGGCCTCAAGGTCAGGAAGATGAACATTGAAGTCCTGTTTCTGACACGCATTGGTGTGATGTGGGTCAAGTCTTAACCTCTCAGTGCCTGAGGCAGCTCTCTAAGATGGCAGAGAAGGTGCCTACCTGCATTGGCAGAGGGAGTTTCCTCACCTGGGAGTTATCTACAGAAATTAAATCAGAGCTCCACTCCCTATGCACTATCCTTCTCCACTATTATCAGGGCATGGAGAGGATCCTGGGTTCAAGAAGGTCTTGCTAGTGGAGCACCAGCCTGGCATGTCCCACACCCAGCTTGACAGGCTTTGTGCCCAGGCCCTGTGAGGGACAGCTCATTGTCTGAGGACCAGGCTACCTAAGTCTGGAAGCAATCACCCCCCAGTTGGCTTGTGGAATGATGACCTTTTCTGGCCAACAACTCATCTAAGTGGTAGCATGATTTACATGGAAGGATATAAAAATCAATGCCAATTTTTTTTGGTCTCATGATCCTTTCCCTTCATTCATACTCCTTCTCTTGAGCCATCTTGAGACACCAGAGAAGAATATGTAGCTGTAAGAGCAGTAGAAAGAGAGCTCAGGGACTGAGGAAACTGGCCAAGTCAAAAAATAGGTGAAGGTCATAGTCACTGGCCAATATCCTTGAGAGTCTCAGGCACACAGAACATTGAAAGTTAAAGAGACTTTAGAGATGAAAAGGTCCAAAGCACTTACTTTTAAAATGGGTAGACTGAGGAACAAACAGGGATGGCAGGCTGGTTGATTTAGAATCGGAAGGTACTTTAAGAAACCATCTCAAATAACCCCCTCATTTCACATATGAGGAAACTAAGGCTGTCTGGTCTTCCCAAAGTAGGGCCTGAGACTTTAGATACAGCCCTTCCAAAGTCACACGCTCACTTGGAGGCAATGTGGTACAAGGGAATGAGCAATGGACACAGAGTCAGATGACCTAGTTTAAATTACTCCAACTCTTACTTCCTGGGGAACCTGAGGCAGGTCACTCTTCCACTCTGGGTCTCAGTTTCCTCTCAAATGAAAAGATTAGACTAGTGAACCATGAAGGTCCTTCCCAGTTCCAAGTGGAATTGCCGTGTGTAAAGTCCAGGTCTTCTGGCTCCAGCCTTTGCGACCTTACCATCATGCCATGCTGCTTCCTGGGGCATCTATTCCCTGGGTTGTGTTTTCACTGCCCTTTGGCCCCCCAGCAAAAGGGTAGGAGTAACTTACCTACCTTGACACAGATGTTAATATCCACAGCCTGACTCCATTTTTGCTTTTGGGATTTCAGGGTGCATAAGTTCTCCACTCTGTCATTAGACCAGCTTGCTACATTCTGTGGTGGGGCTTTGGCTCCCATGAATTTGGTTCTTAACCAGTCCATTAACACTCTATGGGGAAAAATAATACCAGGAGACATTAGTTTATTGGCAAAGATCTTTGGTCAACTTTTAGAATTCTGCCCTTAGAATCACAAAGATAAGTTCCTAGAAATATTGGACTGGAAACTTTAGATCTGGAAATTTGGAGAGGTGAGATCAAGACTTGACACCTTTCTTTCATCAACTGGTGTAGCAGAAAGAGCACTGACTTTGGAGTTAGAGGGCTGAGTGCAAATCTTTACTGAGATTTACAGCTGGTGTGACCATAGGTAATTCACTTAACTTCCCTGGTTGTCAGTTTACCCAATTGTAAAAAGAGGAGTTTAGATTTGATGATCTAAGATCCCTTCCAAGAGTCCATGAACCTCCCTTGGCCTCAGTTTACCCATTGGCAAAATGAGAGGTTTGGATTAGTCTCTGGTCCCTTTAAGCCCTTACAATTCTGTGAGACTATAGAAAAGGCTTTGGGTACCATGTCAACCCAAAGAGGTGCTATGTTAATTGAAGCACTGACCACATTTGTAAAATGAAAGTAACAACCCCTTTCCAGAGTGGTTGAACACCCACCAAGCCCCTTCCCTATAGTAACCCAAGGCTCAGGCCAAGCACTGTTACGCTCATTTTACAGATGCATAACCGAAGGCTGTCTCAGGAAAGCAAAGCAACTTGTCCAAAGTCATACAACTAGTAAGTCTCAGAGGCAGGATTAGAACCCGAGCCTCTCAGGCAACAAGCGTTGATTAAGGGCCTACTACTGCAGGTCCAGGGGGCTGTGCTGGGCACTAAGGATACAAATACATCAAACAGGGCCTGCCCTCAAGGAGCTTCCATTCTATCACTTGCGATGCCAAGTCTGGCATGGTTTCTACTGTACTACATTTCTTCTAACAGTGCACATATATGAAGGAGGATAGCCCAGACCCTTGTCCCCGGGGCTCCAACTGGGGGGTTCTCTATAAGGGGAAATGCAAAGGCATTGAAGCCATCAGAATGCAGACAACTTATGCTCTAGGGCACAGATGAATCCTGAATGACCCTGAGAGCTGAGATCGAGTGCAACTCACCTCATTGGACTGTAGGCAAAGCAAGTGTAATAGCCTGGCAGGGTCAGTAGTACCTTCCAGAAGATCTGCCGCCTGGGCACGAGGTGGCATTCCACCACCAAGGAGTGTAAATCCAAGGGGGCCCAAGCAGCCATGCTGGAAAAGACAAAACATGAGACATAAGGGGGAAGGCGACACCCTGGGAAATCCCTGTCTTGCATTCCACTTGAGTAGTTCCAACTTCTCAAAAAACTTTCAAACAAGCAAAAACAACATTTCCCATTCTAGAAAATTTTCCCAGTGTTGATAGGAAGTTAATGCTGAATATATTATGTATTTTAAAAGAAAAGCAAACTGGACATGATAGAGATCTACCATGTCATGCACAATCTTCCTTTTCTGCCATATTGTGTATATGCAAATAACCACTTTCTATAGTGTTTAAGTACAGGTTTCTTAAAAAAAAGTATTTTTTGAAGAAAAATCTTCACAGAATCATAGATTTAGAGCTGGAAGGGGCCTTAGAGATCATTGATTCCAACTCTCTCATTTTACAGATTAGGAAAATGAGGTACAGAGAAGTAAATTACTTGCCCAGGGTCACCCAGTCAGTAGGTGTCTGAACCTGCCTCTGAGTTCAGCACTCTCTCCTCAGAGCCACTTCATGCGTTATTAGACAAATAGCTATTCACCATATTGACTCCTGGAGTTCCCATGGCAGATATTTCTTTCTTGACCTTGACAATCTGAAATACAGATGCAGCATTGAATTATGGTATCAAACATGCAATGCCTTTCCCTCCCCCCATACTCCTTTCTGCCTCCAGGTTTTTGTTAAAGATGCAAAGTACTGGCACTTGGTACCACCACAGGATCAGATTTAGGGCTGGAAGAGAGCTATAAGGTCTTTAAGTCAGGCCCACAGAGTTTAGGTGACTTGTCCAAGGTCACACAGGTAGCAGGTGGGAGAGAAAAGGTTTGATCACAGGCCTTGGGAATCCATTCCTACTGTGTTATTCTGCCTCCTGTTAATTGCTTTTTGGTAGGGCCCTGCAAGCAAAGCTCATGGGATCATAGACATCGATTCACTGATCATCTGGTGACTCACCTCATCCATCACTGGCTTGCTCCTACTTGGGCACCTTCATTGTTCGGACCATCCTCTGGACCTCCCACAATTACAGGGGGTGACTCCTCTGTTGCATTGGCCAACTTACTGTAAGAAATGAGGGCAGAGCCAGTCACTGAATAAATAACCCTCAGCATTACATCATGGCATCAAGAATATCTATCTCCACTTCTGACTTTTTCACAACCCAGGAAAATTAAAAAAAAAAACAACTAAAATGCCTCTTGAATTGGCTCAACACCAACTCCCCTACCCAATCTCACTCCATGGATGCTAGGTGGCATGGTGGGCAGAGCTCTGGGCGTGGAGTAAAGAAAACCTGAATTTAAATCCTGCTTGAGACATGCTGTAGATATGTGACCCTGAATAAATCATTTAATCTAGCCAGCCTTAGTTTCTTTCATCTGTAAAATGGGGTTAATAATCACCCCTATGTCACAAGATTGCTGTGCTGTATATACACATCTATATAGTGCTATGTATATATAGATGGCTATTATATATCATAAAAGAAAAGGCAGGAGTTGGAGGAAGTGAAACAAGGTTGAGTGGAGGCTACCAGTGCTCCCAAGTCCTCACTACTCTCTGCTGCAAATGGAGAATATATTATAAGGGACATTTGTGTGAATAGGGGAGAGTTAAGAAAGTTCACTGCCAAAGACAAGAAGCCTCTCCTTTTCTTTTTAACAATTTAAAACTGAAGACATTTTCCTTCTGGGAACTGGCCATTGCTGTGCATATAATGTTTGCTTTGGGACACCCCATTACTGCTCTCAGCTAAAACATCAAAAACAGCCTCACAGTCTGTACTTCTCAGAGGGAAATCTAGACATTAAAGAACTTTCATTCATATCAAGAGCAACTACTGTCACTGGGGATCCTGTGTCTGTCTTTACCGTAAATGTGAAGCTGAAGGGGTTTCCTCCTTGTTCTCCCTTCCCCGGGCAGCAAGCTTCTCTTCACTCCAGCTGTCATCCTTTTGCTGGTCTCCTTTGCTTCTGATCGACAGTTCCTGAGGATGGATGGTGAGTCTTTCCTGTCCACCTTCTCCTTCCTGGGCTTCCCCAGTCAACGCGTTCTCTCCGGCTTCCTGCGTCGCTCAATCCTCTTCTGTTTTTCCTCTTTTGTCTATCACTGATGTCTGCTGGCCATTTCTTTAAGCCATCTCCAGAGCCTTCTTGCCAGCAGTCTCCTTCCCAGTTCTGTGCTGACACCCTTTCCCTGTTGTCTTGTTCTAGCCTTTGGGCAGTTCCATCTTCGCTTACCTGATATTTCTGCTCTTCCCCAGAGCTTTCCTGACTTTCCTGTCTTTCCAGTTGCCCTTGGACTTCAGTTCCCCAGATTATTCCTTCTCTACCAGCCCTGAATTCCAATTTCTCCCCATGGTCAATTTTTTGACAATCATCTTCCAATTCTCTATGTGTTTCGTCTTTTCTTTCTTTCCCTCTCTCATTTCCTTTTTCTTCTTCTTGGCTATATTTTATATTCAATAAACTTTCCCCATGTTTCTCTATGGTGACTTCCTGTTCTAAATCACCTTCTTTTCCTTTCATCTCTCCTCTGTCTCCCCTTAGGTGTTTTAGCCTTTCTTCATACTCTTTTACCCAGTCTCCTCCTTCTAGTTCTCCTCCATATAATTTTCCCCAATGTGTCCCCATTGGTTCTTCTTTCGCGTTCGTCCTTTCATTCCCTTTTCCCCGTTGTCTTTCCCAGTCATATTCTGCTGCCTCTTTTGTGTTACTCATTCCATTATCCACACTCAGGGCTCCTCCATCTTCTTCTTCCAGACTTTTTCAAATGTCTCCTTCTAAGCAGTCTTCTTTCTGATTTTTGTCATTTTCTCTTGCCTTGCACCTTCCAAATTCTATTTCTTGTTCCTCTCCTTTGGGTTGTTCTTCCCGTCTTCCTTCAAAGTGCTTGCTTTCAATTTCTCTTTTAACTTCTCCATACTCTGCTTCCCATTTTTGACTATTCTGTCCTCTCTTTCCTTTTCCTTGACCTCTTAAGTCCTGTTCCTGACCATCCAGCTCTTGGACATTTCCATATATCTCTTCCACAGTTGCTTTCCATTGTCTTTCTGAGATTTTCTGATCTTTTTCTTTTACCTCCAAAGTATTTTGTACTTCTTGACCTTGACTTTCCTCTTCTCTTGGACCTTCTCTGGATTCCCTTCCTCATTCTTTGCCACTAGACTCTTCATCTCTATTTCTTAGTGCTCCATGTTCATTCTCCCAGTCTTCCTCACTTGGTTCATATGCATGATCCCTTCTCTGGTCTTTGTTACATCTTACTCCCCAGACTACTTTGTCTAATCCTTCTTGATCACCAGTTCCCCACATCTTTCCATATTTTCTTTTCCCTTCTCTATACCTTCCTTTGTCTCTCCCCTGTTTTTGTTTTTGCTTATTTCCCCCCCGATCCAATACAGCATTCCCCCTGCACTCTGTTTTCTGAGACATTTCTGTGTTTACCCCCTGGAGGATTTTCCCACATTCTTTTCCCCTGGTGGATGTCTGGACTCCATCATATTTCTCTTTCCCATAGTGCTCTCTTCTGACTTTTCTCTTCACTCTCTGTCCTTCCCATCTTCCTCTGCCTCTGTCTTCCAGCCCTTCTTGATTTTCTCTCTTCCAGATGTCTAGATATTTTAATGGGATTCTTTTCAGCTCCAGGGGTTCTTTTTTTGCACATCCATCTTCTTTTTCTTTCTCTTTTCCTGTCCATTCTTGTTCCTCTATTTTTTCCCTGTTACTTCTGTTGTGTTCTACTTCATTTTCTCTTTTGTATTTTCTTTCCCATTCATCTGCTATTACTTTTCCTTTTCTACCTAGAGATTTCTTTTTGACCTTTTCTCCATCCAGATCTTCATCTCTGTATGATTTTTCACTTAATTCTTGTCCATTTTTTTCTTTCCTGTTCATTATAGTCTCTTTCTCTGGGTGACTCACCCCATTTTCTTCTTATTTTACTGTCCTGGTCTTTCTGATATTCTCCTTCCCATAGTTTTCCACTGAGATCACTATTCCATCTTTCATTATATTTTATGTCCAAGCTATTGTCCACCAGTTCTCCATCTTCAGTTCCCCATTCTTTTCCTGAGGTGCTTCCCTGCACTCTTCTTTTCTGTCTTTTTGTTTCTTTGTTCCCTGGTTCATGGCTCCTTTCACATCTTGCTTTCCTGTTTTTCCTTTCTAATTTCCACTTGTCTCCATCCAGCCCATTTGAGTATTCCCTTCCTAAAGCTGCATCTTTCAATCATTGAACATCATATTGTACTCTCTGATCATATTGCTCCAGACCTTCTCAGGAGAGACTTTGTCTCTCTGATTTCACCCTTCCTTCATTCAAACACCTTTCCTTTTCTCTCCCCCAAATGTTCAGGTGCTTATAGTTTTCTCTTTTCATATTTCTTATTTCTTTCTTTTCACATTCATTTTTCCCTTTTCCTCCTCCATCTTTTCTGTTCCAATACTGCTCTTGATCATCTTCTCTGTCTTCTCCTCTAAAGTGTCTTCCTTCCTTTCTTTCTTTAAAGTTTAGTTTCCAGGCTTTTCTCTCTCTCTTTTCCCCACCTTTTTCTACTCCACATTGCCCACCTCTTCTCTTATCTTTTCTTTCTTGTTTTGCTCTATATTCTCTTTCCCAGTTTTCATTTTTCTTCACTTTTCCATGTTTCTTTGTCATATATTGAGTGTTCTGGCCTTCTTTTACATAACTATGTCCTCTTTCATTCCCTTCTTTCCTGGTTTTTCTGCCTTCATGCCCTCTTTCCCAATTGACTTCCTTTTCTCCATACCTTTCTTTATAATATTTGTGCTCTCTATCCCTGTTGCTTTTTCTTTTCTGGCCTTGTCTTTCTAGTTTTTCTTTCTCCTCTTCTATGTCCTTTTGCTTTCTTTTTCCTTTTTCCAATTCTCTGTAATTCCACCACCATTTTTCTACCTCCTCTTTAACTGTCTCTTTTTTTTTCCCCAAATACTGTCTCCAGATCCTCCTCCTTGCAATCTTCCTTGTTCTCTTTGAGATCATCTCTCACAACTATTTTCTTTTTCCTGTTCTTGATTTAGTTGCCAGTGTTCTTGGGAGTTATCTTTTCTTTCTTGATGCCTTCCAGTTTTCCTTCCCTGGTTTTGTGCTACAATTTTTCTCTTGTCTGCTACTTCTGATTCTTCCTCATAGCCTCGTCCTCTCTTTTTTCCTCCCGTCATCTCCCTAGTATGTCTTTTCAGGCACATTCTGTCTTCTGGCATCTCATCTGGCCCTTCCCATATTTTATCATATTTATGTTCTCTTTTCCAAGTTCTTCCTTCTTTTTATTTTCCCTGCTCTTGTTTCCTATCTACTTGGACAGGGCCACTCCTATATCTCATTCTTGCACCTTGTTTGTCACATTCATCTCTATCTTCCTTTCCTTTATCTTTTCTTACTTCTCCATTTTGTCCTTCCCATCTCTCACTATATTCTCCTTCCCATTCTTGAATTTCAAGCCATCCTTCATCATCCTCTTCCCTCCTACTTTCATCTTCTCCTTTCCAACTAAGTTCCTTTGGGTCTCTGTTTTCTATTTTCCATTCTTCTTCATTTTGTAGAATGTTTTCCTTTATCTTTTCATTTTGATCCTGTGACCAACATTTGAGAGAAATGAGTGAGAATAAGAGCTTAACATTAGTTTACGTAAACATGCTCATCATGAAAAAGGCTTCATTTCAATTCGATCCCATACCATGGTCTTAGGAATAAACAATTATGAAGTAGAGACTTATTTCATTGTATAGTTATCATTTATGTACAAAGAAATGTACAAAACATTATGACAAAGAAAAAAAGCATTGAACTTGGAGTGAGATTGAGATCAAATATAAATTCCTCTGTTTGGCTTTACAAGCCCTTTATAACCTGGCCCCATCCTATATTATGATCTTCATTAAACACTACTCTTCTCATACGCTATGGTCTAACCCAACTGGCCTTTACTCTTTTCCTCATATATCTTCTGTCTCTGTGCTTTTGCACTGGCTATCCCCCATATTTGGAATAAAGTATGCTTTGATCTGCATGCACACTCCATAGTTCTTTCTCTGGATGTGGAGAGCATTTTTTCATCATAAATCCTTTGCAATTGTCTTGGATTATTGTACTGCTGAGAAGAGCTAAGTCATTCTCAGTTGATCATCATACGATATTGCTGTTACTGTCTACCGTGTTCTGGTTCTGCTCATTTCACTTTGCATCAGGTTGTATAAGTCTTTCCAGGTTTTTCTGAAGTCAGTCTGCTCATCCTTTCTTGTAGAGCAGTAGTATTTCATTATAATGATATACCATAACTTGATCAACCATTACTCAGTTGATGGGTATCACCTCAATTTCTAATCTTTTGTCACTACAAAAAGAGCTTCTATAAATATTTTTGTACAAATACATCCTTTCCCTCTCACCTTTTTAAATCTCTTTGGGATACAGACCTAGTTAGGGTACTGTATCAATGAGTATGCATAATTTTATAGCCCTTTGGGCATAGTTCCAAATTACTCTCCAGGATGATTGAATCAGTTCATAACTCCAACAGTGCATTAGTATCCCAATTATCCCACATCCCCTCCAATATTTATCATTTTCCTTTTCTGTCATATTAGTCAATCTTATAGGTATGAGATGGTACCTCAGAGTTGTTTTAATTGGCATTTCAATGAGCTGCATTTTGTGGTGGCAAGGAATTGTAAATCAAGAGAATGCCCATCAATTGGGGAATGGCTGAACAAGCTGTAGTATATGATTGTGATGGAATGCTATTGTTCTATAAGAAATGACAAGCAGAAGAGATTTAGAAAAACCTGAGAAGACCTATATAGACTGATGCAAAGTAAAGTGAGTAGAACCAAGAAAAATATTGTATATAATAACAGCAATATTGTAAGGATGATCAACTGGGAAAGATAGCTACTCTGATCAAGATAATCCTAGGCAATTCCGAAGGGCCCATGATGAAAGATGCTATCTCCAGAGAGAGAACTGATGAACTCTGAGTGCAGAGTGAAGCACACTTTTAAAAAAAGTTTGTTTTTGTTTTATTTTGTTTGTGTTTTCTTTCACAACATAACTAATACCGGCATAAGTTTTGCATGACTCCACATCTATAGTTGATATCAAATTACTTGCTTTCTCAGAGAGGGAGAAGGGGTATTAGGGAGGAAGGGAGTTTAGAATGCAAATTTTTTTTAAATGAGTGTTAAAAATTATTTTTGTGTAATAGGAAAATATTGAATGAAAAAAATAAAAATGATTTTTTAAAATGCTGCATGAACCTCAATTAGCAAGACTAATAAATTTTAAACCATTGAAAAAACCTAACTGAGGGGATCTTCCTGAGTTCTGA